AGCAAGTGGAATTTGACAAGGAAAATATGGAAGCTTTCTGGGTAGATATCTAGTTATAAACCACTTAATGTTAATATTGATGAGGAAGAACAGTGTTGGAAAACAAATTGTTTTACCTATGCAATGCTTAGTAAATATTCCAATATATATATATATATATATGTTTATGTTATAGGGTCTCATGTCCTGCTTTCTACCTCTGTATTTCTTATTACGTAGCTAAAGTATTACTGTATACATAGCTTGAAAGACCAAATAGTCAGTAGGCCTGATTATAATACAAGATACTCATGCTTTAAAAGGGTTAAACTCACCCTTTTTAACCCCTTAAGGACCAAACTTCTGGAATAAAAGGGAATCATGACATGTCACACATGTCATGTGCCCTTAAGGGGTTAAACATATTTATTTTTCTGTTCTTGTGTTCTTGCGCCTGACACTAGCTTTTGCTGTATTTTATAAACATCTTGCACTTGGAAAAATGGCATTCTTTCTAGCACCTGCAATTTTTAAATGGGTTCCTAAATCTCATACTGTCACTTGCATCAGTGAACAGGAGACCAACTAACAGCATTACAAAATGTTAAATGAAAAGTTATACATTCTGTTCTGAGACTTCCAAGACTGGTTAATGTTTCCATTGAAACTGTGTCATATATACAATGTACTATGTATTAAACATTTGAATGCTTATTGATCTGAATGGTGTTACTTCATTGAGTATTCCCAGCATAAACATAAATTGAGATAGAGGGACAAGTAGTTCAGCAAGGGGAATCAGGTTTTTGAATGTGTTAAATGACACCTTCATGTCACAACTGGTACAAGCACCAACTAGAAAGGATGCTTGTCTGGGTCTCGTTATAACAATCAATGTTAATCTTTTGATCAACATTCAAGTAGGGGAGCATTTGGGAAATAGTGATTACAATATATCTTGTTTCAAATGAACTTAAAAAAGCAAAAGTACATGGGGTAAACTAAAATGTATCATTTTAAAAAGGCCAATTTTAATAAGATAAGGGCAGGTTTGCAACATATTGACTGGCATAGACTCTTTAGTCAGAAAAAAACACAGAGGATAAATGGGATATCTTAAAACAAATATTAGAAATGTAAATTTCTTAGTATGTATCATTAGATAATAAATATACAAGAAACAAATTAAAACCAATGTGGCTCAGTGGGAAAGTAAAGCAAGAGATTAAAAATAAGAAAAGGGCATTTAACCCCTCAAGGACACACGACGTGTGACATGTCATGATTCCCTTTTATTCCAGAAGATTGGTCCTTAAGGGGTTAAAGCATTTAAATCTGAGAAAGCATAGTCATCCTACATAAGAAATAAGGAAGTGAGGTATCCTACATAAGATATAAGGAAGTCAATTACGCATGCATAGATGGGCTAAACTAAAAAATGAGAAAATGATAGCCAAAAAGAGCAAAACCAACCCCAAAACATTTTTAAGAACATAAATTCTAAAAAAAAAAAAACAAAAAAAACCTGAAAAACACTGAAAACATCGATGGGCATGTTAGTTAATAAAGACCATGAATAGGCAGAAATTTTGAATAACTATTTTCCTCAGTATATATTAAGAAACATTCTATGGCAAGAGTTATGCAAATGATTGCTGCAATAAACTTGCTGAAAAATTGTGATTGGATTACTCAAGACAAGGTGCTGCAACAACAAAAGAAAGTTAATGTAAACAAAGGTCCGGGCCTGATGGTATTCACCCACGCGTAAATAAGGTGTTACATGTAGAAATAAGCAAAGCTCTGCTTTTAAACTTTCAAGATTCTTTTCTTTCATGATTTGTAACAGAGGATTGGAAGAAGGACTTGGTTCCTGTATTCATAAAGGGTTTAAAAACTTTGTCTGGAAATTATAGACCTGTGAGCTTACCTTCCATGCCTGGGAAAGTATTTGAAGGCTTATTAAGGAATAATATTCAGAAATTAATTGGGTAGAATATTGTTATTTGCAATAATCAGCATGGTTTTATGAAACATAAGTCATGCCAAACTAACCTAATTGTATTCTAAGAAGTAAGTAGATGTATAGATTAGGGTGTTGAAATGGGTATTATCTACTTGGATTTTGCCAAGGGAATGCTTCTATTTAGTATATATATATATATATATATATATATATATATATATATATATATATATATAAATAAATGATCTTGAAATAGGCATTGAAAGCCATGTTCCAGTGTTTGCAGATGACACAAAACTCTGTAAAGTAATACAATGTGAGCAGGATATTGCTTTGCTGCAGAGGGATTTAGATAGATCGGGGGACTGGGCACTCAAATGGCAGATTAAATTAAATGCAGATAAATGCAAAGTTATGCACTTCGGGCAGGGGCGGGCTGGGCCGGGGGGCAGGGAGGCAATTGCCCCCCAGGCCGCCCTAAATTCCTGTAAGGCCGGCCGCGGCGGGCCGGCCCTTTAAATACTGCAGCCGCCTGAGCGCTCTGTTAAGAGCCTCAGGCGGCTGCAGCTTCTCCCCTCCC